AAAAAAAAAAAAAAAAAATTTGGGAATGCTAATCCTCAGTGCTCTCTGACCCCAAAAAGAGTAAGGACTGTGGCAATGTGGGGATCCCAATGCCAAGACAGCTTTGTGATATGAGATTCTATTGGCAGGAAAAGCTTCCAGGCCCTAGGACTTCTCTGTAGCTTCCAGGGACCCCAGGTAAGATGGTGGACATTGTGGTGCTATTGCGGCATCCTTAGTCCCTCCCTGGGTTCATCAGAGAACCCTACACAAGCTGAGAGAGATGAGTATGTTCCATCCCCCAGCCCTTGTTATATAGCCTCTGGGAGAGGAAGAGAAAGGGCAGATGGCTTCAGGGCCATCTCCAAACTCACCCACATCCTGCTCATGTCACTCAAGTCATTCCTGTATCTCAGAGAGTCCTTCAGGACCTGGAGAGAGACGAGAACAGCCCATGAGAGAACAGGAGGGGAGGACAGAGGACAGGCAAAGATGGGCAAAGGGTATTGGTGGGGAGGCTGAGTGGATCAAGGCACCTCTAATGGGAACCAAAGGCCAGGAGAAGTAGGGAGTGGACAGTAGCCTCTGTGGCCAGGCAGCCACCCTTTCCTCCCTGCAGCCCAAGGAACTCACATTGGGGTGTCCATCACGGAGGAGTTTGTGAAACACGTGGCAGAACTTCCAGCAGAGCACTGCATTACTGGAGAGTGGCAGCCGATTGACCACAGACCAGAAGGTCTGCGCCCCTTTCTCATGGTGGGTGCCCAGTATGCATGGTGAGGCGGGTCATGGAAAATACAGGATAGGCCCTGCCTCAGGCAGCCAGGTCTTGGGGTCAAGCCTGAACTTGGCCACTGGGGAGGGTCAAGCAGGGGGAAGCACCACTGGAACAAGAACACTCTAGATCTATATGTCCATTCCGGCAATTTGGGGGCAAATGTAAGAAAATGTCTTATTTTAATAAAATCCATATGATTAAACAATTTCCCCAGAGATGCAAGTGTTTGAGAGAGGAATAACTTTTTTGCTAAGGGACCTCTGGGCCACAGGTAGTCCATTTTGTCCTTTCTTTGGGTATGCTGAGTTGGGTCAGGGACCCTAGGAAATAATCATAGCTAAAGTTGTTAATAGCACATTCTGGTTTCTCCAAGTTCTTTTCTCTTTTTTTTTTTTTTTTGAGACAGAGTTTCACTCAGTCACGTTCATCATTCACAGCAACCTCAAACTCCTGGGTTCAAGCCATCCGCCTGCCGTAGCCTCCCAAGTATCTGAAACTACATGTGTTGACCACAATGCCTGGTTAGTTTTTCTATTTTTATTAGACAGGGTCTCACTTTTGCTCATGCTGATCTCGAATTCCCGAGCTTAAGCAATCCACCTGCCTTAGCCTCCCAGAGTGCTAGGATTACAGGCATGAGCCACTGCTCCTGGCCTCCACATTCTTCCTTATCCATCTGTCCTGACCCCTTTGGGAATCCCATATCCTGACCTCCTGCCCCTGTTACCCCTCTTTCGGGTAGCACCTCCGATTCTGCTATTTGGCCAACCACACGTGTACCTTGATGGCAGCAGTTCTTGTCTAAAATGCCCTTTCCGCAAACATCAGATGACTCAAATACCCCACCTCTGCTATAAACCTTGACTTTGCTAGGCAGTGCCTTCATCTCCCAACATCTTGAGCTCCGTATATGTGGAATTCTAGGGCTGCTTCTCTCCAGATTCAATTCCAAACCTGCTACCCACAGACTGCCTGCCATGGACTACAAGTGATAAATGTCCATCTGGCCTTGCATGATTCTAAGTTTAGCATTCCAGACCTCTGTTGCTAGTGACCTCTTTCTGTTTGAGTAGAGGGTTTCCACGTGCCTTCTGCAATTGTGTGCTTAAATAGCCTTCACGGAACTTTAGGCTTCTTTATTATTGCTCAGGGATGGTGTCATTTAGGGCAGAAAGACTTGCTTCTGGTCGGAAACTAATGACTCATCCAGAACACATGTTTGGATGTGAATGGTA